TGCCAGGTGTGGCGAGGCAGCTCAGGTAGGCTGCTTCCCCCACCCGGCACGATCTAGGATGGGGGACTGGGAAGCAGCCCAGCTGGGCTGACTTGCCATTCCTGGCAAAACTTGAAACAGCATTGAAACAGCCTTTCTGTTTCAGCGGAACAGAACAGCTGTTTCGACGCTAAATGAAATTCGATGCGAAACACTGTTGCATCAAAACTCGAGGCAAAACGGAACAGTGCTGTTTCGCACAGCTCTACTCATCACCTTATTGCAGACGGTGGGCTGGCTAAACATCATCTCTTGTTGAATCAATGCTGGTTGTTCCTTCTTACCATGTTATCCCCCAGGTGCTTAGAAATAGATTCCTAGAGGTTATGCATGACTATTATTCCCAGTATCCAAGTCAGGCTGACTGGTCTAATTCTCTGAGTCCTCCTTGCCCATTTTTTTTTAAAGGTGGACACAGTATTTGTCTTTTTAGTCTTCCGGTATTTTACCAGAACTCATGAATTATCAAAGATAAGAACAATGGTTCTATAATTATTTCCATCAATTCCTAGAATACTCTAGGATAAAGCCATCTGACCCTGTTGATTTGAAGATATCCAGCTTATTAAAGTTCTTTTTCTATTCTAGACTGATTATTAGCTTCCTATCCTTCTTGCTGTCTGTCATCTGAGAGCTGACCATTTAAGACTAAAGTAAAAAGCCATTAAATACTTCATCCTTCTGTATATTGTCCATTATTAGACTCCTCTCCAGTCAGTGAGAAACATTCATTGTTTTTTTGATCTCCCTCTTGCTTCTGACATGCTTATAGAATGTTTTTAGTGCCTTTTATGACCTTTGCTAGCTGCATGCCTCTTACATTCATCCTTAATAACATGGCCAAGTTTCTACTTTTTATGAGATCCTTTTTAAGCTTAAAGTCCTTAAAGAGTTCAGTAGTAAGCCAAACCAGGCACTTACTGCCCTTCAAATCCTTCTTTCTTGTTGAGACGATAACATATTTTTGTGCCGTGAACATCAACTCTCTTTAAGGAGCAACCAGTCGTCCTATCCTCCCTTTTCCCATCTGTGCAGCCTTAAATTTTCAACACTATCCATAAACAGCAAATTGAGCTATCCCCTTCACTTTGGTTTCTCTGCCATGTCTATTAAAATTTCCCTTATACACCATACTCCTAAATACTGCTCAGCAATCTGCATACTGCTGTGTTAGTTGCCCAGCAGATATCACATAATTAAACCCTCCTGTAAGCACCAGGTTTTGTGATTCACTTTTTTAAAAAAAAAAAAAGCCTCATCCACTGCCTTCATCTGGTTTGATAATCTATAGTAAATGCCCACCATGACATCCCTTCTACATTAATTCCATGCAGAGTCCCAGAGTCACTTTTGATCTGTTCACATTCCCCTGGCAGTATCAATACCTATGTGGATCAGCTGCATGGGCTAGTAGTAAGAAGACTGGATGCATCTTCTGCCACCTTTTCTATAATAACTTTGAATTAAGCTCCTAGTAGGCAACAGAGCTCCTGAGACAATAGGAGGCATCCAGCTGCTGACTGGACCATCCCCTGGTGAAGTGTCAACTTTGTTTTCTTTTTGAAGGCAGTGGCCTTGATGCTTCCAGCCTTTGGGCTTTGCCTCTTCTGTCAGTGAAATAGATTCCTTCTGTCCCATGTCAGCATTGTTCTTCACCTTTACTGTTGGGGGTTTCAGAAGTAGAGCACTGTCTTCTAAGAGGTGACCAACTGCCAGCTTCCCACCTGGCTGTCTTTGGCAGGGACATGTTACCCACAAAACCAGACCAGGACCTGGGTATAGAACCATTAGAGGTCAGAGGCCATACCTGGATACAGCACATGAAGGAAGAGCTAGCAGTGGATGTGGTTTTAGTGACATGATAATTCCAGCCTTACAGTGCTTAAAATCTTCTAGTATTGCATTTAATTACCATTAGATAGGCTGACTTTAGTGTTTTTTGCTTTTGTAAAGACTTTGTAGACTGCAAGTGAACTCTTTGTGGTTGGCTGTAATTTTAGTGATTGTTTTAAATTTTGCCCTCAAAATCGGTCATATCGTGTTCTAATTACCTTACTCAATTTCTTGTGCTGTCTTGTGGATTATAACTATATTAGTTGTGCAGCCTTTCTTACTACCACTTTCTCTATCTTTTCCTGTGCTCTGCTGAGCTAATCTAGAACCTCTTGGGTTGGGAAGCATTGTATTAACTGCTGCTACACCTCAGCAGGAAGCACACATTCTAGACATATACACCGTTATGCTCCTCTCATACAGTCTTTCTATTAATCATTTTGTAAAACGTGTTAACTAAAGCTGTTTTACTGGAAAAACATGGATGCTTTCAATTTTGCATTAACTTTTAAGTAATTTAATTTTTCACATTTACCTTTTTAAACAGATAAACTCATTGGAGTTCATTGTACTAATGGAATTAATAGAACTGGTTACCTTATATGTAGGTAAGTATTCCACAAAAACTCAAGTAAATGTTTTCATTAGAGTAGTATGTTTTCATCAATCATAACCAAACTTTTATGGAGGAATAATCAACCATTTTTTCCTCAGATACCTTATTGATGTTGAAGGTTGGGATCCAGAGACAGCAATTCAAGGTATTTTATATATCTTCATTAAACTTAAGGCTTTGTGTGTACAGCTGTTCTGTGGCAGGCCCTTTATACTTCTCTCTTATATGGGTTTCCACAAAAAATGCATCTTGTTGCAGCTTCTGTTGTAGGTAGTATTTGAGTATCATCAGGCTTTCACCACCTTGAGAAGTTTCCCTCCTTCAACACCTAATTTATTTTAGTGGTTTTCTAATATTTGAGCAGCCACGTAACAACTGTAGTTACAGTTGTAATATAGTTTGCTCCAAAAATGTCAGTTTGCTGTAGAATTGAGTGTTCACCATCCTAAGGTATAGAAAGTGACTACATTTTTGGCAGCTGGATTCTAAGCAGATTTAACTACACACACTTATTTTTTTCAATATTTCCTATAGCTTTTGGTGAAGCTCGAGGCCATCGTATGGATGGTCTAGTATATCTTGCAGATCTCAGAACTCAACCTATGAGAAGGTAAGCGGAGGCTTTTAATTTTGTATTTGAAAATATGACTGGCATTTGCAAGGTTAAGTTTCAGCTTTAAATGCTGTATTTTATCCTGGTAAGCTAAAACTAATCTTTTTTTAGTAGACAGTGTGTATCTCTTAAGACTTTTGATATTAATTGCATGAAGTGCAGTTTACTTTAAGTTTATCTTCTCAGTGTGTAGATGAGAAGGATTGTTAATTATTTCTTTACTTTTTAGGCTTTCAGTTTCATTGAATGTTTCTTGTTCTTGTGCTGCCATGGTAAACATTTTTATACCACTAATTATTTTGTATATTCTAGAGTAAGGTGGTTGAGGGACAGCTTGAAATTCTTTTATCCCAATTGCCAAATGATCACATTGCTGTTGTTGAATTCTTGCCCCCCCTTCCTTCTTTTCTTTTTTTTACTTTCTGTCAGTCTCCTAAGGCAGGGGTTGGCAACATACAGTCTATGGACCAGATCTGGCCTGCAGAGCCAGAGGGTTTTGCCTCTGCCTGCACCTGTGCTGGGGCTAGGCAGTGAGGAGCTGCGCTAGGGCTGGACAACTAGATGCTATGCCCACATTGCTGCTGCTGCTGCTGTTTTCTCCCTGTCCTCCTTGCTTTCGCCTGTGGTGTATGCACAGCTTCCGGCCAATGGGGAACCAAGTGGGTCTGAGCAACTTCCAACTGTGCCTGTGCTGCAGTTAAGGGAGGTGAGGCGAAGGGGTGAGGTAGTCAGGAGGAGGAGGACAAGTGGCAGCAATGTGGACACAGCTTCCAGCTGCTTGGTCTCAACTTGGCTTCCAGCCAGCTCGAAGCTGCCCCTATGCCTCAGCCAGGGAACACAGGCAGGGGGGAGGAGTAGTAGCAGCACCTGGCCACAGTGTGGATGTAGACATCCCCTCCTGCTGCTCTGGACATGCTGCCAAAGCCACCTGGCCTATGCCAGATTGGAGCTAGGTTATTTCAACCCATTGGTTAGAACAGTTTCCAGCCCCTGTATTAAGGGGAAAAATAAACTAATATTCATCAGCTGGCATACAGTGTGACTATTAAGCCAACATTCCCTGAACTCTTTGTTTTTTGCAGCTGGATAAATTCTTATGCACAATAAAAGCTTTATCTGGCCCCCATGGAGAAATGGGGGGTGCTGGATAACAAAATATGCTGGGTAATTGAGAGGCCCAAACAGGTGTCTTTGCCTGTTCAGGCCGCCGTGTCCAAGGAATCACCACCCCTCCAGCAGCATCACTGACCCTCCCACAGGCCCTGCGCGGGGCCCTGCACAGCCTGCTATGCCTTGGGCCATGGTGGCTTGGCAGCGCAGGCTGCTTTGCCCTGGGCCGTGGGGGCTCAGCAAAACCAGAAGTGCCTCAGTGGGTACTTCCAGTTTCACTTTACCTTACAAGCAGGCATTCCAATTAATAAAACCAGCTTGTAAATTGCCGGTTAAAGGAGGATTTATTGTATATTACTTCTCTTCATCCTATTTTTATAAGGAAATTTGTAATCAAGTGTTTTTATTTTTCCTAGTAACCTTGGAATGGATGTATGGGATTCTGATGACATTATGCCCCCACCAATTGTGATGGAAGGACCTGTAGATAGGTTTCCAAATGAAGATTTCCATGGGTAACTGACAAATGTGTCATTTTTAAAACTAAGTGTACCATGAATGATAATTAACTCGGGACTAGTAAACTGGTAAATAGAGAGATACCAATTAGGCTTAACTAAATTGAGACTTGTTTTAAAACACTGAAAGTATCCTATATCTTGCCAGCGAGGCTGCAGTCATAAAAGAAGTCTTCATTCAAAATATATTTATAAAAATTTTAAATTGTGGCAAGAAGGTGAAGGCCCAAGTGCAGGGGGGCTGGACGTGATAATCTGTAAATTCCCTTCCAGCCCCTAACAACTATGAAACCATGAAAGGCATGCTGTGATAGAATGTCTACTTTTAAAAGGGAATAAGAACTTGGGTTCACTGGGAAAATTTTTATGGTACAAAACTTATCATGTTTTTTGTGTTGTTTGTTTTTTTAAGGGATTATTTAATTCTGCTTTTCCATAACATTTCAGTACAGTGGTGATTTTTATTTTAATTTTTTCCTTGGAGGCCAATTTATGTTTACCTCTCTCTCTAAGGCTAGGGAATTGTGGTGGTATATTTGTTGTAATTTTTCTTGTCATCTTGTTGTTTCTCCAATTAATCTAATTGGAAAGTTAAGGTAAAAAAATCTTTTTTTGGAGGAGTTCAAGTATTTATACTCATATATTATAAAGATGCTATGTAACACATCAGTTCTTTTTGCAGACCTGGGAAAAGATTACGAATTTATGATGACCACTCTCATGATGATTTGCAAGGGCAGTTGCAGTTGAAAAATTTTGATTTCATTAACAAAGGACCTGGACAAAGACGAAGACCATTTCCTGATCACCAGTCTCAGGATGATTTACGAGCCCCAATGCAAATGAGAAATTGGGACTACAACAGAGGACCTGGGCAAAGGATAAGACCTTTTCCTGACCACCAATTTTATGATGATTATCCAGAAGAAATGCAGCTGAAGGATTTAGATTTCTGTAACAAGGGACCTGGACAACGACTGAGACCTTTTCATGGCCACCAGTCTTATGATGACCTGCAGGCAGACAGGCGGTCAAGAGACTTTGAATTTAATAGGGGCCATGGACAAAGGCAAAGAACCTTTCCTGACCACGCCTCTCACAGTGACTTACAAGGAGACATGCAGCCAAAAGACTTTGATTTTGTCAACAGGGGTCGTGGCCAGAGGCAAAGGCCTTTCCATGACCATCAGTCACATGATGAGTTTCAACCACAGATGCAACTGAAAGATTTAGATTTCATCAACAAGGGGCCTGGTCAGAGATTGAGACCTTTTCGTGAGTACGAATCACATGATGATTTACAACCACAGATGCAGCTGGGAGATTTTGAATTTGTTAACAGGGTTCATGGGCAAAGACTGAGACCTTTTCATGATCACCAGCCTTGCAGTGACTTGCAGAAGGAAATGCAGTTAAAAGATTATGATAATAAAGGGCCTGGACAAAGATACCGACCTTTTCATGATCATCAGCCATATGATGATCTACAAGAGCAGCAGCAGTTGAACAATTTTGATTACACTAATAAGGGACATGGACAAAGGTTACGTCCTTTTCATGACCGTCCATCCCATAATGACTTGCCACATGAATGGTGTTCAGACAGGTGAGGTATTCTTTTGCTGTTACAGCAGGAAACTAAGCTGTGGTAGTACACCCCTCACTAAGAGCCAAATAGGAAGGGCTAATCCTTGTCAAATTATTCAGTGAAATTAAGGATAATAAGCTATTGGCTAGCATTTTACCCTTTACCCTGTTGAAAGGTTTGTAACGCCAAGATCTAGAAGTTGGGATATTGTGACCTCCACAACCCAAATTTTCAGGCATTTTGTGCTATCCTGAGTTGGAAGGCTAAATAACTTTGAATTAAAGTTTATGTATTTTTACTAACTGTTCATAGACCCAAATACTTCATTTTATTTTGTTTTATAGTGAAGAGGTTTGCATTTCAAAATCAGGCCTCAGGATTGTTAAATACAATATTTACTCAAATCTAAGATGACTGAAATTAGATTCTATACATGGACCATTTATAATTTTATTATAATTTTCCATGTATAGAAACTAATTATTGGAGTGCTAAGTCTTTTTAATTCATCCCCCCTCACTGCTACGAGGAGGTAAGTGGTGTGGGGAGGTCAAGCAGCTTGCCTCCAGCTTGTGCCTGCCCCCCCTGAGCCTCAGACCCCCTGCTTCTGTTTCTGCCTTTGCTCTTCCCCCTCCCCCTAACCTCTCGACTCCCCCTTTCACCCTTCCCCCTCAGCTTCTCTGCTCCCTGTTTTCCAGTCCCACCCCTTAGCTTTGCTCTACACCAGCAGGTTCTATCTGTGTTTTAGCCTGGTTTACTGAGCAAGGCCCTAGCCCAGCCCCCTTAGCAGCCATGCAGGCCATGTGCTGTTGCTACAGGGCTGGGCTGGGTCATGCTTAGTGCCCCAGGCTGCCATGGAGAAAGGGTAACGGGGAGGGGGAAACGGAGATGGGCGGGTGGGGAATCGGGCTGGGGGGGTAGGGGGAGATGGGGTGCAGAGGTGGTAGTTGGGAGGGATGAGGCACAGGC